AATAACATGATCCCTCAGTATGCCTTTTTTTTAAGTTATAAGGTAACGACAGCTCTTCTTTTTTTAGAGTGTTTCAGTTTATTCAAAAGAAAAAAGTGTGAAAACCCTCTAAGTAATGTTTTACTGTTGGTGTTTCCTTTAAATGAGAACAAAGTGATTGACATAATTTTGGACTACATCAAGCGATATTTGAGGGTGGGCCGAGCTTCTAACCGCACAGAAAGATGATGATTTTATATCCATTACTTCCTCTTTTTATGAAAGTACACTTTGTCACTCTGTTTTACTTACTCAATAAGTCTAAAGATACCTCTATTTAGTCACCATAGTTTAACTACCTTCTAAATTTAATTTGGGTCATTCGAATTTGTTTGGACTGCTTGAACCGGATTCTAATTTAGTTTCGGTTAAAAGTTTATTTGTTCGGCATAAAAATTTTAAAACCTTCTCTAAATCTCGAACATTTGAGAATGAAGCAAAAATGATGTCTATTCAGCATTGTGGAATCAGGATTATTAAAATTAGAGAAATCAAGAAGAAAATTTTATAAGAGTAAAAAAAAAAATTTACTCGAACACAGTTATGGTTAGTTAAAAGATAAATCCTTGTTATAGTTTAAAAGAATAAAGGAAGTTTTGTAATATGTGAATAAATAATATTAATAATTACGTGAACAATTAAAAAAAAATTATAAATAAATATTACTGTTACTTTAATTATAACAAATCGCAAACTTAATATATCACATTTGAACTTTTTTGGAGTCTGTGCTTGATTAAGATATTGAAAAAGAACACAGGAAATTATTGAAACTATTGTAAAATCAATATAAATAAATGAATTATTAATAAATTATGTTTAATTCGTAAAGTCTAAAATCTATTTTACTTTGTTTCGAAACGTATTAAAAAGATATGCAAATGAATTTTATGATATCTTATAACTTACAAGTTCATTAGCGTTCACTTAAAATTATTCTTGTCATAAGATGTTATACACGAATGCGCAAGTGAGGTATTCCTAGAACTTTTTTACAATGGTTTTGCGCAATTTCAATATTTCAATTTAAAAAAAAATTCTAATTTATTTCTTTAACTGCTATGTTTAATTTTAAATAAAATAATGTAATAATAAATAATACAAATCTTAAATAATAAAATACATTATTTAAAATCAACAATTACTTAGTAATATTATTAAAACTTACAAGAAGAAAAAAATTCTGGGGAATTTGCAGTACTGTATGGTAATGATACTTCAGGTAATAAAAAAAACTATAGTTCTGGTTAATTAAACCAAAATATCCGGTAAACCAAAATATTTATTTAAACCATTCATTTGGTAACTTTACCGTTCATATGGCAAGTTAAATTTTCTTTTTCTTCAGTTGCGTGAGATTTTTTAACAGATCAAGGACATTTTCACGTCCCTTCAGATTCTATTTTCAAGCTACATTTTTTTAAATGACATTTTTAGTCTATCGTCAGATGTACAAATTTAAAAGCGTTATACATAACAGGGTGGTCACGTAAGTAAGCTAAATGTGAATCCAAAATTCCACTAAAATTATTATTTTTATTATTAACTTCGAAAAAAAAATTAAATTTTCTTACTGCTCATTGATGTAAAGAAACAATTTATAAAATCGGTGGAATTACTTCGGAGTTAAATTTGCATCACAAGATATTATTTTCCGGAAAAAGCCTCTTTAAGATTATTTCAAAGGTTTCTGACTCTAAAAAAGTTTTACTTATGACGTTTAAAAAATATGATTGTTTGTTTATAAGTGAATCTAAAACTGAATCATAAATTTCACAAAAATAATTTTTGGTGAAAGACTATGCTACGATTATGATAAGGGTTATAAAAAATATTTTCGCGGAAGAAAAAAAAAACACTGTTTTTCTGCTGAGTATAGACAAATCCATTAACGCTAGTGTTTCTTTTGTACAGTCCCTTTTTCTTTGGATATTCAAAGCGATTTTAATCCATCAAAATGATCTCACTTCACTATAACAAAACACTTCATTATTTTACACTGACCACTCTATACAAATTCTGGGACATCTTTTGTAAAGTTACTTCCTTTTATGCATATTTATTTCCGCCTGTTTCTGATGCTTAATAATCGGAAGTCGTTTTATTTTTCGGAAGAAAAACCGCAACACAAAACAATCGTGAGCGGGAAGAAAACTGCCAATTGTTTCCTACCAATTAACGAAAAAGAACTGTTAACTAGACGTTGCCCACGGTGGATTCTTGCAGCAGGTATCACACGAACTAATAGACTACTTTTCGTCAAGGTTCTACCTTTCCCCTGGGGTATCACTTTCGTTTGACGGAAGGAATTGAAACTATGAAATAACGTTTTAAATTGACGTGGGGGTAATAAAAAGGGGATTCCCATCGAAAAATAACTAGGCTATTGTCTGATCCAATGGGTGAAATTCTTGACGGACTATTTCGTCATTTATAAAGAGCGGTGTGGTTCTTCTTCTGCTAACTAGGGCGGCTGTTGTCTTTTCTTTTTTTTTTTGTTCCTGGTTTTAGAGCCCCTCCTGTCTTCATTGATAATTTTTTGCCATTTTTTTGTAGACTGGTTTATTTCTTTTTATTTCAGTTTGTTTTTTCCCACATGAACACCACCCTCAGTATTTAAAGGAAGATTGTCGCAGTTCGCAGGTCAGTATTTATTCAACCGTGCTCTTGTTATAATTTTCTTTCAGTGGTCTGTTAGGTGAATCGAAAAAATATCTTTTGGTAAGTTTTTTTTTTCATTAATTAACTTAAAAATAAAATTTGAAAGTAAATTTGAAACTTAAAATTAGTGTTTTTAATTAATTTTAATTAAAAATGCTTATAATTTTTTTTTTCATTTTAATAAATGATTTCAAGCTTGCATTTACTATGCAGTGTGATGTGAAAGTAGTTTTGAATGTAATTTAAAATTTTTAAATAATACTTTTTTTAAAAAATTAAAAGCTGATTGATTTTAATTTTAAATTTTTATTAAATATGTTTTATTTGAATAACTAGTTTTGGGTTTTCAGTTTAATGAATTATATAGTGTGTAGCAAAAATATTTGAAATGATATCAATAACTAATTATAATAATTATTAATTTTAATTAAAAATGTTTACCATTTTCATCTTTTTCATTTTAATAAATGATTTCAAGCTTGCATTTACTATGCAGTGTGATGTGAAAATAGTTTTGAATGTAATTTAAAATTTTTAAATAATACTTTTTTTTAAAAATTAAAAGCTGATTGATTTTAATTTTAAATTTTTATTAAATATGTTTTATTTGAATAACTAGTTTTGGGTTTTCAGTTTAATGAATTATAGTGTGTAGCAAAAACATTTGAAATGATATCAATAACTAATTATAATAATTATTAATTTTAATTAAAAAAGTTAATCATTGTCATCCTTTTCATTTTAATAAATGATTTCAAGTTTGCCTTTACTGTGCAGTGTGTATTGAAAATAGTTTTGAATGTATTTTAAAGTTTTTAAATAATAATTTTAAAAAATTTAAAGCTAATTGATTTTAATTTAAAGTTCTTATTAAATATGTTTTATTTTCAGTTTTGGGTTTTCAGTTTAATGAATTATACAGTGTGCAGCAAAACTATTTGAAATGACATCAATAACTAATTATAATAATTATTAATTTTAATTTAAAATGTGTCTTAAACATGTTGCATTTTTATAACAATATGTAAGCTTACAGTAGTAGTGTACAGAGTGTAGAAAAATAAGGTTTTTTCTTAAAATTTGTTTTGAAATTTTGAATAAATATCTACAAAAATTAAAAACTAAAAACATTTCGTATTAGTTGTGTTAGAAAGGTGAAATTTCGCCTATTTTTCTTTCTTAAATGATTCTTCCTATTTTAATCCTTTCGGAGCGGTGTTTAATTTTAATGATGAGCGTATAGCAATTTTTATTAAAAGTATAGTATTACAGCTTTGGAATTTATATGAGAAAATTTATACACTTAAAATAATTCAGACAAATCATTTCTCCATTCATTTCTATCATCCCTAAATAAGTAGAATTATATTTCGAATAATATTAATAAAATATTTCATGGTAATAAGAATTTGCATAATAATCATATTTACCTTGGCTTCGGTTACGAATGAAGTTAAGACATTAAGTTAAAATTTTTTACTTGCCACCCGATACTTTTATCCATTTCTCTTTGCACATTTTCTGCTCATTATTCGAGATGAAGTTGTTTTGTGAGCACGTGCAATGTACAAGAAGAAGAAGAAAAAAAAAAAAAAGAGAGAAAGAAACACCCTTAATAACTGTTGATTTAATGATCAGATATTCGCATACTAGGACTCAAACTTTATGGTTTAAAGGGGTGAGTTCAAAGAAGCTAATTAGTTAGTGCAGACGTTATTTTAAATTACAAAATCGGACGCAGATAAATCTGCAGCAAGACTTAACATGATCAAATTCTTATGATTTAATTCATTGGTTATAAATGACAACGGAATACTTCACGGTGCTTAATGACAAAGCACAAATTTTATCTTCAAAATCAAAACAAACAGCTTTTTTAAGGACTGAAACTCCCATCCTCATAAACGAGCAAAACTCCTTGCATAACAGACCCGGTTGAACCTCTTTTCTCTTTTGGCTAACAAGATACTTGAGGCTAATTTTTACATTAGAGACAAAACAATTAGCAGGCTCATTACAATATATTCGGTTAAAAATCCACTGATCAAGGAAAATTTTATAAAATTCCTTGTTTTTTTTTACCGCAATACAAATGATAGAAATTAATTTTTTTCCCCTTCTCGTTACCTAATTTTTCCCTATGGTTGCTGTGCAACGTACTTGTCTAAGAAAAATTTTCCCTGAGCACCATAGAGTGTTTCCATGTGAGTAGAATCAAGAAAAATCATAGATTTGCTTTTAGCTTGCTGTTTGCTTATATCTAAATATGCAGAAGAGGGTTTAAAAAAATTGTCAGACGTTATGGACATTTGCTTTCAATATAAATCCGAAAGGCAATTAATTGACCATATATGAAAGCTTATAATTTAAATTATTTTTATTTGATTTTTATTTCATCATCTTTTTAATGTTTTATTTTATAGCAGTGTTTCAGTATTTAATATTTCATTTTTCTTTTAAGAATGCTTCATACCTCATTTTGTAAAATTATTTTTAACACCCTTATTCATCAAATTAAAAGAGAAAATGATACAATTTTTATCGTCAAAGAACACATTTTGCGCATCTTTGCTCGTGAAAAAAAAAGCAGTTCGGTTAAAACAAAACGCATTTAAAATTTAAATTTACTAAAGAAGCTGATTTACGATATATGAAGACAATATATATATTGAAGATTATTGAATTTCAAACCATTCTTAAACTATATGTTGTTAAAAATTTAAAAAAAATTAATAATGGTACCCACATAACCACATTATTTTCAGCATTGGCAAAATATACAGACTTATTTTTAAAAAAATGATTGAAATATATTCTAGGTTTTAATCCTTAAGTTTGAAAGACGAGAAGTTTTACAATTATAACCACATTTTCAGCATTGGCAAAATATATAGACTTATTAAAAAAAAATGATTGAAATATATTCTAGGTTCCAATCCTTAAGTTTGAAAGACGAGAAGTTTTACAATTATAACCACATTTTCAGCATAGGCAAAATATATAGGCTTATTAAAAAATGATTGAAATATATTCTAGGTTCCAATCCTTGAGTTTCAAAGATGAGAAGTTTTACAATTATAACCACATTTTCAGCATTGGCGAAATATATAGACTTATTAAAAAAAATGATTGAAATATGCTCTAGGTTCCAAACCTTAAGTTTGAAAGACGAGAAGTTTTACAATTATAACCACATTTTCAGCATTGGCAAAATATATAGACTTATTTAAAAAAATGATTGAAATATATTCTAGGTTCCAATCCTTAAGTTTGAAAAGACGAGAAGTTTTACAATTATAACCACATTTTCAGCATAGGCAAAATATATAGACTTATTAAAAAAAATTATTGAAATATATTCTAGGTTCCAATCCTTGAGTTTCAAAGATGAGAAGTTTTACAATTATAGCAATGCTGTTGGTGATGTCCGCTGTATTCCTGCAGCAATCAGAAGCTGGGGGTCACCTTCGTCTTAAGAAGCTCGTGAAAACTGTTCTGTTAGCAAATGCTTTGACAGGAAAAAAAATACTCTTCCCGTTGCCTCTTCCTCTCCCGATCCCTATTTTCCAAGAAAACATACACCACGAACCTTACCCGTAAGTATTTTTAAATTAGTTGAATTGAATTTATAATCCATGTTTAATTACCATTAACATTACTTCATCATTATTACTTAACATTTGACATCATTACTGTTAATGATTGCCATCATTTTCGAACAAAGTTTTCCATCATTTTTACTTAGCCATTGCCATTATTATTATTATTATTTAATATTTATCATTATTATTGCTCAATGCTTAACATCATTATTGCTCAAATCTCACCATTGTTGCTCAAAACTTATCATTATTCTCTCCAACTTACTATGTAACTCAAATTTATTTCTGTTCCAATGCTAAACAAAAATGACAAAACCTTCATAACAAATCAAACCTGATTACTTGATAAAACATACTTAATAATAGTCCATTTCGCATTTACAGAAAATATTTTAATCTTTTTATTTATGAATTAGGACGTTTTTAATTTGTAGGTATATTTTCAGTGAAACGCTAAATACTCGTAAATTTAATAAATTTTTATAAAACCCTATCATATAATTTGGGTTAAAAACACATTATTAGAATTGAATTTCTCCATTTTCAAAATAATTATTAATGATAAGATACAATAAATAAAACATTTTTTTTATATTGTTAAATTCATAAATTCCATTATTTTGCAAATTCATAAATTAAATAAACTGTGAAATTTTAATTTTTTTTTTTTAATTTTGTTATTTATAATTAACACGACCACGAGAGCTCCGAAGAATATGTTTTAAAAAGCTTATGTGTTGGCATATATGAATGGAGCACTCATTCATTTGCACTTTTCCGTGACAACGTTTTTAATTCATGCAAAATCCACAATTTCTTAATTTTCACCTCATTTGCTTGACAATTTTAAGGAGAAAATATAACAATCTCTGTTGCGTCAATAGGTTATTGTTTCATATTAACAATCATAAATTCTGATTGCTAAGCCCTTTTTCTCCATTTTGCAAAAATGGTTTTTAAAAAATGCTTCATGCATCTAACGAAAACTGCATTAATAATATATATTCTAGAAAATGTTTAGGTGTGTAAAAAAAATTTTTTTTCAAAAAAAAAAAAACAAAGAAAGAAAAGAAAAAGAAAGAAAGTCAAGTGAAAAAATGAAAGGCAATTTAGCAAATAAATTCAAAAAGAAGTTCTATTTATTAAATCTTTTCGAACCAGTATCAATGGATTTGTTTATCAACTCTCTTAAATACTTTTTACATACATTATAATGTAAGAATATGTACAATGCGGCAAAAAAATAGACCACCCAAAATAACTTCTTATCTATTGATTAGATCTTCACGTTCCAGGAGTCAATCTTAATGGCTGGCTCGAGAGACTGACCTCAGATATCCTAATTAATAACGACGATATTTTAACGATATTTTAAGTTACGAAATCAGGCACAAAAATGTCCTTTCTCTAAATAAACATACCTTATTTTCAACAGATTGGAATTTCTGATCCCCAAAATATAGGGGATAGTCACAATCTGGGAAATATTATCCCTAGTATGGTCAGGGGAGGTCACTAAAATTTGGACCCTTTTATATTTATTTTACTTTTTGAGCATTTCGTTATATCTCGAGAACTTTTATAGCGAATTAAAAAAATTTTGCGTACAATTATAAAATTCGCTTATCCAAAGATAATTCCATGCAACTTTTAGCAAATATTTATTACTTTTCATTGTCTTATTTAATAATGATAAAAAAAATTATAAATGTAAGGTATAAATTTTTTTCCATCATTTTAAGGAATATAGTTTTACATGCGAAAATACATAATTTGAGCAAAATCGGTTAAATAGTCTCTGAGAAATCGAGAACTTAAAATATACGACTTTTTAAAAATTCGATTTCTCAGGAGCAATTCGACCGATTTTGCACAAATTTTGTATTTTGTTAAGTAAATTTAGATACTTTATAATGTTGTCTCATAATTCAAAAATTTCTCTACTATCATTTAATAAAATAATATATATTTAATAAAATTTATTTTTTTGTATATTGTTTGAAAGTAAAAATGAAAAACAAATCTAGCAGAAAATTTTTTTGAGACATAATTTACTGAGGAGAAAACGATAATGATGATAATATTTAAGTATAAGATTTTTTTGCGTTGAGAAAAAAAAAAATTTCGAATTATCAAATTGCTTACTGAAAAAATATGATGCATATTTAAAGTATAGAAAAAATTAAAATTTTATTATTTGTATTGTACTCAAAATTAGCATTGTTTCAATGAAATTATTTATTTTATATTTAAGTATTTATCTGCAATCGTTAAATGAAAATGAAAACGATAATAAAAATGAATCATTATTACTCATTCTTTTTTACTACTGATAAAAAAAATTTTTTAATTCTTTTCGTTCTTTACCTGCTGTGTTTGGTGAATATTATGCAAAACTATTTTCAATTCTAACGTATCAAATTATGATAATCAAGTCTGATTCGAATTTTTTTAATATTTTTTCAGCAGGTAGGTACTCATATTTCAAACAAATATATATATTCTGAACAAAAACATATTTAAGAATTACTTCTTTGTATTTTTTAGAAAATTACACATTCCTAAGCTAATCCTCTTGTGAACTATTGAAACAATATTTATTCGTCTTAAAATAAGTGTTATTTCCCATAAAATGGTGCTACACATAAATTAAAAAAAATTTAACACTAAATAAATATTTAAGATTGAAACAATTACCAGACATTTATCAAATTACTTCAAAATTAGTACAATAAATAGCTACAAAAAACTAATCTTCGATCGAAGGCTTGATATAATAGCAGGTTTAAAGAAATATTTCGTTGAATATTCGGTTAAAATTCTTTAAGTTATTATTTTTACTCCTATTGCAGTTGCAGTTAAAAACAACACTCATTAAAGTGAACTACTTTTTTTCATTTTTCAGAAAACTCCTTCTTAATTTATAAATTCAGTTTTGTATAAAGCAATCTTATAAAGCGAGAAAATGAATCTTTTGTTTTTTCATATATTTGTTTGCATTCTCTGTTTTTAAATATATTTGTTTACATTCTCTGTTGCTTGTGAATAATTATGTTGTTTAATTAATGTCTGAAGAAATTCCTTATGTTTACCCATTAATAATTACGAAATTGAAATATTAATAATGTTGATGTAATGTTATAATTTACTTACGTCGCCCTAGTGCTACACAATGGGCTATTGGTGGCGATCTGGGAAGCATCCCTAAGGATATTTCTAAAGACATACCATCACAATTTTGATCCTCTGCAGTAAGGATGGCACCCCTATTTCGGTAGCTTGACTACCTGTGCTTGAAATCGAGCGCTTTACTCTTGAACAGTTTAACAAGGACCAATACCGAGAATCCTCGGTTCCTTAGTAGACTGATCCAAGTGGTCACCCACCCGCACACTGATAGAAGCCAGCGATTCTTGACTTCGACACCCGTGTCTTAACGATCAGTAAACTTGCTTGCCTATTAATAATGCAACAAATAGAATTAGAAGCATAAAATATACACTCTTTTATATGTTAAAAAGAAAAAATTTAGCACTCAAGTTTTTTTTCTGAATTACTAACTTCAATAACATATATTTTATTTTAATTCATAACCGTCATTGTACAGCGGATCCAAATTTTGAGTTTACGACTACAACTCCGACTGTTCAACCCCGTAGCCTTATAATTTTAAACACAATCCAGAAGACAAGGGAACTCCTAGATCGAGTAGTAGGAGAAATTTGTCTTTGTGGAGGACTTTTTGATGGAACCAAAACTTATTTGCATTACATGGCGAAAAAGCCACGGAAACCACCCACGGTAAGCCTGACGGCAACGGGACTCTAACACATGATCAGGCAAACATCGAGGACATTTTACGTCAGCACTCTGATCGGTACAAGTGGAATTCGAATCAGCTACCGCGGGGATTTGAACCCGGGTATCAAAAAAGTAAGAGGCTCTATCCCATGAGCCACCACGGCTCTTTCTAGATGAGTACATACTTTAGCCGAGTCGTCTAATTTACCAATGTCATTACAGACAGAACGGGGCTTCTAGTCCCAGCATTTATACCACACCATTTCGCCTTTTCCATCAAAATACAATGAGCTTCCCGCATCCTACTTGGTGACCCTGGACTATAGAAATACGAAACTCTCATCCATGCAGTAGCAGCACCACAGAAGAGAGCTTAACATAAAAAAGTCTTGTACTTCCCATCTCACGATAAATTGTATCATCAGATAAACTAATTAGGCCCCATTCTATTGTTCATTTGACAAAGCACAACTAAACCGCGAATTAAAAAAACTTAACTCCAATGTTCAGTTAAATTTCATTTTTGTAGTTTTAAAACCATTCTAGTTGTGAATAATTACAAAAGCCTACAGTTTTGTAGTCACAGATTTTCAAAAATACCAGCTGTAAGCGGTTTTAAAAACCCTAACCAGCTGATCGTTTATAAACAAGATGGCGTGTTAAAATCGAGCGAAGTTTAACCGTATCGCACATCGAATTTGTTACAATATAATTCCTTCTCATCTACACATTTTACTTAACTTAGCTATATTATTTTTGTATTTTATTGCAACCGTGAAATATTTTTGTTATGTATACCTGGCAACTTCGATGCATAATCAGTTTGTTTATGTTCTACGTGGTCTCATGGCTGTCTTGGTATTAAGTAAGAAATATATAGTGCAAGAATTGAAATCTTTGTAAAAGAATATAGAATGTGTCTCGAAGGAGAATTAATACTTGACTGGCTTGGTTTATTCGAAATAGAATGGAAAGAGTAGTTGCTAACGTAATCAAATCCCACGTTTCAGCAGCCAATCAGGATCGAGATACCCACACTATGTCATTTTCAGGTATCCCATTAAGTCTGATTCTTCATATAGTTTACGTCAGATGTCTAAGCAAAACAGCAAGATTTATTCTTTATTCATGTTTTTTTTATCAATGGTTCAATATAGTAATGGATACATATGGCCTGGATGTCTAAAAAACTCGTAAGGCTAACATTATTTAAAACTCCTAAATGATAATGGGATTTATAGAGCAATTTTCATGCATGCACTTTGAGTCTCTATTATTATTAGAGATAAACCGAAACAAGTTGTATAATCTCTCTAATATCTCCAATTATAGACTAATTATTTGTTATAATTCCATTTTAGTCAATCAAGCCAAAGTAAATTCGAGTGCTTGTTTTTTTCTTTGTGTAACGAGAGAGCTGGTTAGTTCTCAACAAAAAAATACATTCTTCTTACTCTCCATCTCATCTTTTGGGCCAGATTCAAAATTAATAACAAATGGAGTTAAAGGCTGTTACCTCAAAATCCACTATAAATCGGCTATTAGACGTTGCAACCGTTCTTCTGTAAATAGACAGGCACGCTTGCACTAAATGATACAGCACAGAACAATAAAAATGTTTAATTTACGAAAGAAAAGTACGATAATAGAATACCTTACATTTAAATTCAAAATTCGAGTAATGGAGACTTCACATTCTCGAGCCAGATGTCGACCGACTGTAAGTTGTTCTTGTTGTACTCTCAAAAATAAAACTCGTACTTTCGACGATTCAGCAATCTTTGAACTATTTCGTTAATTTTAAAAATTGTTACGTCACGAAATCACGTGATTTGTGCGAAACTCCTACATATATTACGAAATTTTTCCCCCAACTCGTAACCTCATCGTAGTGCATTGAGGGAGATTATTAAATAGAACAACAACACTAGAACGAGGACTAGACAATCAAAAGTAAAGTGACGAAACAGGTCGACCGGTGTTTGGAGGTAAAGGAGTTGGCCTCGTACCAAACATCTCGGATTCGAATCCCTCTTTGGGCTGAGTATAATTTACCTCTCTGTTATATCCATCCTTCTGTTGTTGTTCGAGTAACATTGATACACCTATATTGTGCCCACTGTTAAGTTATAATTAGGAAATTTAAATAAATTAGTCGCTACGAGTTGTTTTTTTTTTTTTTTAATAGAATAACGAAATATTTCTTTAATTTTGGGGAAATTCGTTTCCTCCATAAAGTGACGATAGTTATTCCTTGGGGCATATACTTTGCTGTAACTACCACTACAAATATTAAGTACCAAATCACTAGTATATAAAACATGTTAACTTGATTCTAACTTGAGGTACCTTTTGATAGATGAAGGTTAACACAGTCGATAATTAAATTCCCTTCAATATCAAAAAAAAAAAAAAAAACAGTTTCGCCAAAATAAGCAGAAATTTTGGTGAAATTTGAGTGCCCATTTTTTACAGTGCGCCCCTAGATGGTGTTCAAAAAACAGTTGCGTAACAAGATGATGAAATAAAATAAATAATGTACTGTTCAAAATATAAAAATAATTTCATTTTATATAATTCCAGAGTAAATCACCACACCCACGCTGAAATTGGATATGGTTTAGAACATGGTGGATATGGAGGTGGTTTCGGTGGTGGATATGGAGGAGGTTTCGGCGGTGGATATGGAGGCGGTATAGGAGGAGGAATTCATGGATATTAAACTTTGAGTAGTGCCTGAAATAAATTCTGTATAGTCTTCGCCATTTTCATCATGAATATCATCCACTTGGGCTAACTCAGGTCATCTTGTAAATAGATTTTTCGTAACACCGTATATAAAAAGTGCATAGAATAATTTGTTGAAATGTGTACTGATCCTAGGAAAGTGTTTGGGCTTGGAGCAATATAATGATAAGCCACATTTTTAAACTCTTCGGAAGAGTAATTTTGTAGAGAAATAACGCGATTTACATAACGACGATAAGTTGATTTGGCTTAGTTGGAGTACAAGGCTAATTTAGATCTGCAACAATATTATGGAGCAGTTTGATTTAAAAATTTTCCCTTTGGACAAAGTATGGCATATCCTTATATAGTCCCCAGCCCAAATGTTTTCAACCCGCAAAAAATACCGACAATGCGGGTCATCAACTAAGTTCGTCAAGTCATGTACACGAGATGACAAGAACCGGTTTATAGTTACTTCTATGTTTGTTAGTTAGAATATGCATATTTTTCTTAGAGGCCAAATAATTGTTAATTGTTCAAGAATATAGATTATAGTAACAGAATTTAATATCTTTAAATATTTAAAGAAAAGGTTCATTAAATGACAATCAAAAGTTATTTTGTCAAATTAAGAATTTTTTTAATGTTGTAGTGCAATTTAAGAAGTTTTATATGCTAGAATTTGTTTTTATTTTAAACCAATTAAACCATTAAGCACTTGTTAAATAGTTTTTCCTTGAAAACTTCAAATCAAAATAATTATTTTAATTTTCTGAAGCTGTAATTACGTAGATATCTATAATATTCTTATTTAATAATTAAAAATTATTTCTTTCTTGCTGAAGTAGTGAATTTTTGACATTTTAATGAATTGTAAATATGATATTTCTTTTACAATAAGAAATTAATAATTCTGTATTTGCATCTGTATAGTGTTCATAATCTTTGTACGTTAAGAGCAAAGTTTTGTGATGTTTTTTCTTGTGTGTGTTTGTGAATAAATCATTGTTCAGTTAAATTTTTTTTTCACTTACTTTATTATTCTAATTTTATATCCATAAATATATGTTTTCAATTTCAAGTATCTCAGAAGCAATATCAAGTAACCTTCAGTACAAAATATAAATTTTAATATTGATGCAATTCACTATGTCTGCAATTAAAATATACATAACATTTTCCCAGAGGAAAAAATTCTGGTAAAATTACCACAGTATATGGTAATGACATTTCAAGTAGAAAAACATAATTATGATATTAAAAATCAATATATACTCTTTTTAAACCAATGTGGTATTTTTTCCAATTATATATGGTAATGATTTACCGGAAATTCTGGTTTTCAAAATTATACTAATTATTACCACACAGTTAGTAAGAAATACAAAACTGAAGTGTAAATATAATCGAATGAGTGATTTTTATGTTATTCTCTTAGATATCAAAATAAAATGATAAAAGTACTAAATTTCACCAAATTTTACCATATATTATAAAACCATATCTTATAAAACCATATCTTATAATAAATTTTAACGAAGTCCTCAACAAAAAACTCCGGTGAAAAATGTCAATCTTTTTATTGTTCCCATAGAGCCAGAAACACGGTAAATTTTACCACTGGTAAGTTTTGACCAGACTTTATTTTTTCCTGGTGTACATACAAAAACTACAAAAAACAAAATGTTCAAACACATTAGCAAAAAAAGCAAAAAATCGTGTTCACTCGTTTAAGGGTTTTACTTACTAAAAATACATGTAAAAAAAATAATCGAAACTTGCACTTATTGACCATAATTTTGTGATTATACCTCTAAGTAAAAATAATTAATTGTGATATTACACCTATGTTTACGTTTGAAAAGTAAGAAGTAAACAAGTTTTTTTCATGACAAAGATACATTTTTTCCGTGACTTTTGGGTCAAGCATGTGCCATTTTACGATAGATCTGTGATATTCAACTTTAAAAATCTTATGAAACTCTGGTTTAAATACAACTTTAATAATTCATATAATGAATCCTGAATTTAGTATCGAAATTCTAAACAATATGTTTTCATAAAAATCAAACTTTAGGTAGAAAGAATATCACGATGTCAGAAAAAAGCGATTGAGCTTGATATGTATTATGCCCTCCATTTCTGCCTGTTATCACAGAACTTAAATAATAAAAAAATTTTAAACGTCATTAAATTTTAAACTACCCTACTGAGAAATGTTATAATTTATGTGGAATAATAATTGCAACACAATATTTGGGAAGTGATAACTGAATAAAACTAACAGTCAAATAAAAAAAATTATTTAAAAAGCAATTTATGATTATATATAAAAGATTTAACTTATCAAATACACACTTTACTAATCAAAACAATCATTTTCGAATTATTATATTATCGGATTCTTCAGAAATTTTAAATTGCCAGTTAAATTCCGTTATTATTTTATGAAAAAATTAACTACAGTTTAAGTCAATTTTTACGACTAGGTAATTTTTAAAGGGCATTTTTAAAATATTTACATTACTTTAAAAAACAATCGTAAATGAATGGAAATTTTTCAAATTTTTTTTCATTTTGAAATTGAAATGTAATCTTTTTATTATTAAATTTTATTTCATATTAAATTTTATTCCTCTAATAATCTTCAGAAATCTTTTGACTTTCAATTCTTTATTTCGTTTTTTTTAAGAAATAATTAAAATAATATTAATATGCCAATAACAGAATAAAGCTTTTAAAACTGTATTATTTGTAATATCATAAAATATTAATTAAAGTCCCGCTAGGTGCAAATTTTTTTTTTAATTTCGAATTCAGTTTGTTTTTTATAAAAATTGCTCAACGTTTTTTAACGGCGAAACTGTTAAGTTCATACTTTGGCACGCTTAGATTTAACTTCAAATGATATAAGAAAAATTAACATCGTGAGATTGTAAAATAAATCTTAACATAAATTTCCTCTCAAATTGCGACATAATTATAGATATTCCGTAGCATAAATAAATACAAACTATAAATTGATCTTTCTATGGAATTTTTAAATATCCCAAGACCAGCGTAATGCTCACCCAAATAAAAAAAATAGTGCGTGGAGTCCCTCCGCAAGGAAGAAGTTAAACTTCGCAAATTGCGACGTTAATCGTAGAAGAATCAGCAG